ATGTATTTTACAAAATGAAAAATCTGTGCATGTAAAATACATGTAAAATACTATGTAAATTACATACGTAAAATACATGGTTTGTCATATTGCCAACCCTAAGAGAAACACAGACACGAGTTTTAATGTGATTTATAATACATTAAACACTAGTTTGAAGTGCTATTCACTCGTATATAATCTGTTTTATAATTGAATTTTCTAAGTCATCAAAAAATCATTGAATTTGGTCGTGTTTTTGTTTAATATTGCACTTGAAATACACTACACAAATAATTTGTGCTTTTAAGCATCGGGTAATTAGTCTGTGAACACAATAGGCTATTTACTAAACAACCAACCATGGTTCATTATGCACTTCCAACACACACAACTCTTTTATAAGTTTTAAAATTCTACACATAATTTCTATCATAATTTAATTGTTACATTGTCTATAAAATACAGTTATATCAAATATTTTTACCATAACCTTTAGTCAAATTGACCATGACTATTGTTTGATATATCTACATAATTTAAGGCAAATTTTTATTGCTAATATTCACCAATCTTTGGTTTATATTCCTGTAAAATTACATACAGAATATTCTTATACCCATATCTTATACCATAAATATCAAGCAATGATTTACAAGTATTGTTTAAAATAACCATTTTGCATTCTCTTCCCAAAACCTATACCACCGCTAACTATGGCCCACTCGACTACCTCGATGTCCGACCATCGCAGGAGGTGTGCGCGTTTATAGTGTCCGCCTATTCGTCCAATTGGTTGCGCCTAAACAAGCCGTTCAATCCGTTATTGGGCGAGACATACGAGTACGAACTCCCGGAGCTCAACATTAAGGTGGTGTTCGAGCAGGTGTCACATCACCCGCCGGTGAGCGCGTGGCACGCGGAGGGCGACCACTTCATACTGCACGGCACCATCAATCCGAAGCTAAAATTCTGGGGCAAATCCATCGAGGTGACCCCCGAGGGCACCATCACGCTCAAACTCAAACACAGGCCCGACGTATACACCTGGAAGTCTGTCAACTGTTGCGTTCATAATATCATTGTCGGAAAGCTCTGGTTCGAAGAGGTAATTGGTTTTTGGGATCCGCTTTGGGTGATAATGGTGTTAATATATATCTGTGTGTGTTTTGCAGTACGGCTTAATGGAGGTGACCAATCAAACCAATGGTATGCGAACCCAATTGAACTTTAAGCCAGCTGGTTGGTTTGGCAAAGACCTGCATCGATTCGATGGTTTTATATACTCAGCAGGGTGAGTGTGTGTGTCTGTCAGCTGCGATTGGCCTTTTGTGTGTGTGATTGGCCATTATTTTTCTTTGTTATTGTGTTGCGTTTGCTTATAAAATATTTGTACCCTTTTTTGTAAATAATTTAATAACCAATTTATGTCTGTTTTTTAGATTAGATTTTCTGGGTTTTTAAGTGCTTTCTTCTTCTCATCATTAGTTTTCTCGGCTTTTTATTTTGTTGTTTAGGTTTTTGTATTGATTTTAAACTCACAAAAATCTGGGATATATTTTCACGAGAGAGAGAGAGAGAGAGAGAGAGAGAGAGAGATTGTCAGACACTGTATCCAATGTACTTACTTTGATAGATGTATTAATTAATATTTTGTGTGATTTATTTTGATTAATACACGACTCGCGGACCAAAAAGTTAATACATGTTGAGACTAAAGTCAGGCACGTATTAACACTGTATACCGATTTGTGTCTACAGTATAACTCGATTCAGTGCTTGTTTTATGTGTTGGCATTTTATCATAGATTCTTGTTATGCCCTCTCAAACACTCATTAAACATATTGCGAGTAACATAACAGGGCTTTGACAGTATATATAGCCTGTAATCTACTGAGGTTTTAATCTCTCTCTCTCTCTCTCTCAAAACCAAGTATTTATATGTCATCTGAATGTCTGAATTAAATCCTTTATACATAATGTACTCCTATATAACATACTGTTGAATATACAGTAGACATAAACTCTATTTGGTTCGCAAACAATACACGGAATACTACAAGAATTTGCTTAAAAATGTTAAAAATCAATATATTATATAATATACAAAAGCCAACGATTCATTTGCTTAACAAAAATAACTAATTACTGTATAATTGAATGCAAATTACTATTCATTTCAATGGATACGTGTGTCGAGTGGAGTGTATAATGAAAACTAATGATAAATATATTTGCAAACCTATCCCTATTTACATACATGTATGTGTGTGTGTCTTATTGTACTAATATTTAACTAGTTTATTTTTGGGTACACAAACACATACAGGTATCCAATGGGAAAATGAGTTATTGATTGCTAAAAATGTTAAGTCGAGAGAGAGAGAGAGAGAGAGAGAGATTGTCAGACACTGTATCCAATGTACTTACTTTGATAGATGTATTAATTAATATTTTGTGTGATTTATTTTGATTAATACACGACTCGCGGACCAAAA